CGTCGCTGGAGCGGGCGGCGCCGCGTCCCGGGCATGGCGGTGCTGGCGCTGGCCCTCGAGGGACTCGCCATCTTCGGCCTCGTCCTCTTCGTCGTGCTCTGGCTCATGCACTTCATGTCCATCATCTACACGTAAGCGCCGGCGCTTTCGGAGCCGGGGAAGGCGGGAGCGGGAAGGGTGTTGCTGCTGCCGCCCCTTCCTCTGTGCTGCGACCTGGGCCCTTGGGGGGCTTTGGGGAAGGGGGGCGTAAAATCTCAGCCATCAAATACAGGGTTAGTGCTGTGCATCAGTGAGGTTTTGGAGAAACAACCATAGGAGCGAGGAAGGCTAGTGTGTATATGTGTGTGCATGTTTTATAAATATATACATATAAACACACACGTCTTCTTGGGCCCTTCTTGAATAACTCTGAGGAGAAGGAATACCTCAGGAGATATTCCAAGGTATCGAGGAGAGCGTTTCTGTGGCCAACAAAAAGCAGATTTGTGCATGAGCTCGCCGGGAGAGCAGGCTGTGTATGTGCTGGAGGAATGCACCTTTTTGTCTAGTAGATCACTTCTGTTGTTGTTGGGGTTGGCTTTCTCTTAAATAAAACTCCAGCCTTGCATCACCACAGCTGTTAGAAAATATGTGAATTTCTGTTCTGTCTGTGCCTGTCCTTTCTCTTTCCTTTCTGCTGCCCATGCATGTGATGAGTGTCTATAATAGATCCCTGTTGAAGTCCAGGGTAATGGTCCAACTCATGAGAACTGGAGTTAGTTGTCTCCCGTCTTTGGTTACAGTAGCCCTCTTTCCATGGATAAATCACTTGCATGAGCTCTGATCACCGTGGTGTTATAGTTACATTTAGACGTCTACATTCACTCGGGCCGCAGTACCTTCTTTTTCGAACGCCGGCCGCGCGGAGCAGGGCTCCGTGGTGGTGGGTTGCAGGAAGGCCCTGTGCGGAGCGGACCATGAGCAGCCCTCTGCTGGTCACAGCTGCCTCTGGATGTCTCCAAAACCAATGGAAACAGCCAGCATTTCCACCTGTCCGAGGGCTGCGTGTGGTGCTGCTGCTCCCACGTACTGGGGGAAATGCATCAACCTCCAGGGGCAGGTGATACAGAAAGAGGAGATGAGGGGGCACACAGGGGATGTTAAGAGAGTGGGAGACACTGTATGATATGGAGCTGGAGGAGTGCTGTTGGTAGGAGCTTGTCCGTGGCAGTGAGGCAGGATATGCTCAAGGGGCAGTGGCCTGCTGTAGCCCATGGAGGACCCACGCTGGAACAGAGGCACTCCCTTAAGGGACTGAAGTCCATGGAGGACCCGTGTCAACACAAGGGGGCTCCTAAAAAGACTCCTGAGGACTGGTGCTGGAGAAGAGGCAATACAGGAAAGGCACAACAGTGGAAGGGAGGGAGTCAGGAGGCAGGAACAGTTACGTGCTGACTCCAAGCCCCTGTGCTGCCTGTCCCCTCATGGAGGGGATTAGGAGGGTCTGAGTACAACTTGCACAAAAACAGGGAAACTGAGAGGAGGAGGCGGGGAGGAGGAGTGTCGGACTGAGGCCGGGCCTGGGGAAGGGGGAGGAAGGGTCTCCTGAAGCCTTTGCTTAACTGGCTTCTCTGTTTATCAACACCCAAATCAGTAATTAATATTTGCTAATTAATCTACTGCCCGATTAATGGTATTCGCCAGATAGAGGTCATTTTGTCCACCACAGCAGCGGCCGGACCAGGCATGGCCTGTAGTGCCGGAGACACTACAGAGGGCCCTTGGCTCCCTGTTGTGCTGTGCTCCATGCGCTGTGCATAGGCAGAGGGGGAGCTGTTTCCAAGGGGGTGTTCTTGCTGGGCAGCATTTGCAAAAATACAAATCTGGCTTTTTTGAGCCACCTGGTTTTCCCTTCCCTGCTATGAATGGTTTTGGTGTAAGTGCACTAGGTTCAGTGGGTCTCATATGCCTTTAGAAGAAACAGGTAGGCTGAAACAATGAAGTCTAAATAGGCACGCTATTAAGTCAAGTGGCAATTTTTATAAATTTTCTAATGCATGTGACTGGGGAACTGCTCTTGTTTTGGCACTATTGCACTTTCAGTGTAATACTGAGTGAGGGAAGTAAATAGAGTGAACGTGGGTCAAACAGCAGCCTATTGCTAATAATCAGACAACATGCAGTTTGCCTATATTTACGCTGTGTAGTTAGGTTGTGTTATTTGAGCTGTATCAACTGAATCACTGTCCACTGTGCCTGACTCAGAGTTTTGAGTAAGACCTCTCTGTTTGTATGGTCTCTTTTAAGTCACCTGCTGATCCTATAAGAAGGGGAGTTTAGAGTTGAAAATTACCTAATGTGCTAATTTTGAAACCAGCTAAAGTGGACATTCAGAACTCAAAATGAACATATAGCTCTGATGTGGAAGGCAGCGTGAATGAGGTACTAATCAGGAAAAAGACTTGCAATACTGGCCAGAGTATTAGTGGAAACAAGGAGTAAATGTTGATATCTTGGTGGTCTATAGAATAGTTATTTCAATCAAGTAATGGTTTCTGCTAACTTAGAAAAATATGCAAAGGCTTGTTAAATTAGGGGAAAAATAGAAAGAACAGCTACAGCTCTTTTTTCAGGTTTTTGCGGTCTGAGACATACAGCATTTCTGAATCAGTAGCTGATGTCTGATTGGACTTGCTGTTTCAAGGTGAATGATTCTTGTTTAATAATAAGATTTTTTTTGAGTGATACATGTCTTCTTTTGATAAAGTTGGCAAACAAGACATGTAGAAACTAGAAAGTGTGTTATTTAAGCTTAATCTGTCTGATTGCAGTTTTTCTACTGTATTGTCAGACTTAAGACTGAAATAAATTAAAGACCATATTTTAATCCTTTTTTTTTCTTGCATAACTATTTCGCTGCTTGTTAATGACTCTTTCAATTTGTACCTAATACAAAGATGCATATTATACGTTTATTCTCATATTGAAGAGAGGGAAGGAATGGCTTTTAAGCCAGGGAAGTTGAATTTCAACTTTGGTAACTTGCCTTCAACTTCAGTAGTGTTTGATAAATCACTGAAGCTATTCATAGCCTGCTGTGTTATTTTCTGGGTTTACAAAAGTGGACAACTGGAGTCCTGTTCCAGTGTTGAGTGTTTGTCATTCTTGTATGTTCGCCGGAATTCTACTTACAGTACTTCAATAATGTAAATTAATTTCTTTTTTAAAGGCCCTTCTAGTAAGTTGTATTGAAGTTGTTCATTTTCTTGGTTCCCCAGTAGGGAAGGATTAGGCCATGTCATTTAATTGATAAGAAAATTGATACGTTAATCTTTTGTTTAAAAAAAGAAGTATTTCTGACTTAAACAGCAGTTAGTGAATGTTCTTCTGAGTTTTTAGTTTCTGGTGTTCCAGCTGAATTTGGATGTAACTTCCAAACTTCCATATTGCTTCTTGCCTACTGAGTGTAGTACAGGACTCTGTCAAGAGCAAAAATGTAACAAAACATCTAAATGTAATTAGAAACATAATTAACTAATGGCTTTATCATAAGTCTGCACACAGGAAGCAACATCAAATTGCAGACACAGACTGCGCTAATAAAGGAACCCCAAGTTTGATCTAGTGCCTGGCTAACTTTTAGAAGCATTCTAAGGGATATCATCTAAACCTAAATAAAATATTTGCTGGAGCCAAACATGTAATATGTGAAGTCTCTTTAATCTGTTGGTTAACATATGTTACAGTAGAACAGTTGCAAGCTTTTGTTCTTAAGAAAATGGCTATTTTTCTTTGCCATTTTATTTGTTCATCCCTTCTGCGTAGTCCATGTGTCTGTGTTCAGTCTCACCCTTCGTTATTTTTTGACCTCTATAGTTCTCTTCTGTTTTGTCCCTTTGACCTTTTTGCATGTTGGTATGGTTACTTCATCCTTCATGTTTTATTTCTTCACGGATGGCTGTCAGCATCTGTCAACAGTCTTATTAAGGTACAGATTAAGACAAGTAAAGCCTATGCATGTTGCCATTACTGAGTTGCACTTTACTGTTTAGTTTATGGAGGTGATTCAGAGGTTACTTTGTCACAGGTAGAAACAATAAGAGGATTGACTAGAGTTTTAATCTAAAAGATACTCTTTAAGAGAAGTCACCTATTACTATGAAGTATTTTGCAAGTGTTATGAGGTATAAGTGAATTAAAACTTGCATAGATTTTCATGTGAATATCCATTTCTAAAATTAAAGATATCCTTCCCTCTTGGTGAAAGTCAGGTTCAAAAAAAGAACTCAGAAGTGTGATTGTATTGGAGCTTCTCAAGAAAAAGGTTAGAAGACTTGGCACATGCAGAATTCTGGGTCTGGTTTTGGTTTTATTCATAGTTTTAGTTGAACTTAAGTGATTTCAGCTGGTATTTTGCGTGCAGGTTGTCTGCCTCAGGGTGAATAGTTTTTCCTGTTACATAGCTGATGACAAACTTGATGTATAATGTTGGTAACTTTCACAATAGGTTGCCAAGTGTGGTCTTGTATGGGTGAAAAAATTAAGCTCTTAATGAGTATTAGGAATCTTTTCCTGCAGGACTTTTAGGTAAATGAAGCCAAGAAAAAAGAACTTGACTCTTTGACCACAGGCTAGAACATTAGAGAAGGTTAAAAAGCTGCAAAGTTACAAGGCTTGTTTGTTCTGGGCTAGCATCATTAATCCCCTGCTTTTTCTCCTTGAAACACTCTCTCCCTTTATCTTGGCATTGAGGATGGACCCTACTTTTTGTGGCAACCTTGTAAGGTGTTTGTTACAAGTACTGTGTCTGTAGAACTTGCCGGATTGGTTTTACGCAGGAACTGCATGACAGCACTGTGGTAGAGGGGATTCCAAGGGATAGCATAGGGAAGTTACAAAGTTTATTCCCAGTCATTTTGCTTTTCCTGTGTTCTTCTCACAGTTAAACTTAGCAATGGTTGAAACTTCAGTAACTCACAGGCAGGATGAGAGACAGTTTTCCAGGACTGAGTGTGAAATCACAGAATATTTTGTTTAGAATATTTTAGGTGGAAGTGTTGCTTTTTTTTTTTTTTTTTACTATGGAAGATGGCCAGTTTTTACCATACACTCAAGGCATGTTTGAACTTGAAGCATTTTGCTCTATGGTCGG